AGCACAGTTCTACTCTGACACACATAGGGTTGCCATTAGTCAGAACTGACTTGAAGGCAACTGGTAACTGATAAAGATTTAATAGATTTAAAAAAAAATATTTTGCTATAGAAATTAAAGAGAATATACCTAAAGTTAATCACTTAGGCAAAGGCAGTAGAGGCTGTACTCCTTCATGAGAAGATGTCTTGGGTCAGCCTTCTCCATAAAAGTAGACTTCCCTCAAGCCAAACATGGCTTTGAGCCTCTCCTTTGCTTCAAAAGCCTGGTCTTTGGTGGTGGTGGCGGCGGGGGGTGGGGGGGTGTTACTTTATTTTTTTTCCCCTTCAGGCACATGATTAAGCAGTTTATAAATGCCAGGATGTATGGCTTGGGACGTGAAATGGCCTTGCTCCCACCATCTCACACAAACTCATATATATTCTTCCAGAACTTTTCAACTGCCGTAACTTTCACTTCCTTCTCCAAAGGGAGACCAGGCAGTTGCAGAGGTGGTTAGAAAAGAAAAAAAAGAAATCAAGGTTTTAGGACATGTAAGTTCAGACATTACAGGCACACCTCGTTTTATTGTGCTTCGCTTTACTATGCTTCACAGATACTACGTTTTGTACAAATTGAAGGTTTGTGGCAACCCTGTGTCAAGCAAGTCTATCAGCGTCATTTTTCCAAGAGCATGTGCTCACTTTGTCTCTGGGTCACATTTTGGTGATTCTCACAATATTTCAGACTTTTTCATTATTATTATAAATGTTACAGTGATCTGTGATCAGTGATCTTTGATGTTACTATTGTAATTGTTTTGGGGTACCACAGACCATACCCATATAAGATGGAGAACTTAATCGATAAATGTTGTTCTTTCTGACTACTCCACCGACTGGCCATTCCATCTCTCTCCCTTTCCTCAGGCTCCCTGTTTCCTGAGACACAACAATATTGAAATTAGGCCAATTAATAACCCTACAATGGCCTCTAAGTGTTCAAGTGAAAGGAAGAGTTGCACGTCTCTCACTTTAAATCAAAAGCTAGAAATGATTAAGCTTAGTGAGGAAGGCATGTAGAAAGCTAGGAGATAGGCTGAAAGCTAGGCCTCTTGTGCCAAACAGCCAAGTTGTGACTGCAAAGGAAAAGTTCTTGAAGGAAATTAAAAGTGCTACTCCAGTGAATACACGAATGATAAGAAAGCAAAACAGCCCTATTGCTGACATGGAGAAAGTTTTAGTGGTCTGGATAGAAGATCAAACCAGCCACAACATTCCCTTAAGCCAAAGCCTAATCCAGAGCAAGGCCCTAACTCTCTTCAATTCTATGAAGGCTGAGCAAGGTGAGGAAGCTGCAGAAGAAATGTTTGAGTCTAGCAGAGGTTGGTTCATGAGGTTTAAGAAGCTGTCTCCATAACATAAAAGTGCAAGGTGAAGCAGCAAGTGCTGATACAGAAGCTGCAGCAAGTTATCCAGAAGATCTAGCTAAGATAATTGATGAAGGTGGCTATACTAAACAGCAGATTTTCAATGTAGATGAAACAGCCTTATATTGGAAGAAGATGCCATCTAGGACTTTCATAGCTAGAGAGGAGACATCAATGCCTGGCTTCAAAGCTTCAAAGGACAGGCTGACTCTCTTGTTAGGGGCTAATGCAGCTGGTGACTTGAAGTTGAATCCAATGCTCATTTACCATTCTGAAAATCCTAGGGCCCTTAAGAATTATGCTAAATCTACTCTGCCTGTGCTCTATAAATGAAACAACGAAGCCTGGATGACAGCACATCTGTTTACAACATGGTTTACTGAATATTTTAAGCATACTGTTGAGACCTACTGCTCAGAAAAAAAATTCCTTTCAAAATATTTACTGCTCATTGACAATGCACCTGGTCACCCAAGAGCTCTGATGGAGATGTACAAGGAGATTAATGTTGTTTTCATGCCTGCTAACACAACATCCATTCTGCATTCCATGGATCAAGGAGTAATTTAGATTTTCAAGTCTTATTATCTAAGAAATACATTTTGTAAGGCTATAGTGATTCCTTTGATGGATCTGGCAAAAATAAATTGAAAATCTTCTGGAAAGGATTCACTATTCTAGATGCCATTAAGAACATTCGTGATTCATGGGAGGAGGTCAAAATATCGACATTAACAGGGGTTTGAGAGAAGTTGATTTCAACCCTCATGGATGACTTTGAGGGGTTCAAAACTTCAGTGGAGGAAGTAACTGCAGATGTGGTGGAAATAGCAAGAGAACAAAGTGGAGCCTGAAGATGTGACTGAATTGCTGCAATCTAGTAATAAAACTTCAACGGATGAGGAGTTGCTTCTTGTTGAAGAGCAAAGAAAAGTGGTTTCTTGAGATGGAATCTACTTCCGGTGAAGATGCTGTGAACATTAAAACTTAGTTGATAAAGCAGTGGCAGGGTTTGAGAAGACTGACTCCAATTTTGAGGGGCGTTCTAATGTGTGTAAAATGCTATCAAACAGCATTGCATGCTACAGAGAAATTCTTTGTGAAACGAAGAGTCAATCAATGCAGCAAACTTCACTGTTGTCTTATTTTAAGAAATTGCCACAGCCACCCCAACCTTCAGCAACCACCACCCTGATCAGTCAGTCAGCAGCCATCAACATTGAGACAAGACCCTCCATCAGCAAAAAGATTGACCCGATGAAGGCTCAGATAATGATAAGCATTTTTTAGCAATAAAGTATTTTTAATTAAGGTATGTACATTGTTTTTTTAGACATAATGCTACTGCACACTTAACAGACTACAGTATAGCATAAACATAACTTTTACATGCACTGGGAAACCAAAAAATTCACGACTCGCTTTATTGTGATATTTGCTTTATTGCAGTGGTCTGGAACCAAATCTGCAATATCTCCGAGGTATACCTGTATTTAGAGATCTATTTTTTTTTTTTTAAGGATTCAATGTGCTACCTTCATTTATTTTCTAAATTCCTAATTTTTCTCAAGGCTTTCATGAGTTCAATACCCTATACACCACCACGAAAGATGTCGTCCTGTTTCCTCTGAACTGATGGGTGGCTCACGATTGGTTCCAGTATAGGTAAACCAATACTTCACAATACAGTGTGGGTCAGTCATCAGTTAAGTACTTTGGCAATATAAAACACACTGGCCACTTAAAATTCTCAACACTGTCTTCATTACCATTATTAAAAACTGAACTTCTAAATTTGCGCTCTTTGGATTTATTAAAAAACAAAAGATTCATCACCTAACAGAACAAACCAACAGCAAGACCCAACCACAGCAAGTGACTTAAATACTTAAAAGCATACAATGATTATCTCTCATAATGAACTTTCTTGCATTCTAAGTGCTCCCCCTGTATCTGAATGGTCTCCTAAGACTCTGGTTCTGAATTACTCAGCAGCCTCAGACCACACTAAGTCCCCATTACTTTAACATTCTCATGTTCGAACAGAATTGAAGACCCAATAGAAGAATTTATGCTCTGCTCTGTTCTTCCTGTAAAGGGTTCAGATTCAGCCTTTGGTACCAAAACAACTGAATTGCTTTGCAATTCAATCAGTAAATTATTTGCTTTGCCAGCTGGCAAATTCAAATTATTGTCAATGCCAGATTACCCACCAGAGGATATCTATTTTGTGGATTACACCACTCCTACTCCACAGTTGGCCTGAGCCAAAAGGAAGCTGGGGCCAGAGAAAGAGCAGAGTTTCTGAACACACATCTCTGACCAAACAGCCAAGCAGAAATGATCTTTAAAGTAGCCATTATTTTGCATTATCAGCCTCCTGCCCCTTTCCTCCAATGTTATAACTAATCATGCATTAACTATTTTGGCTTCTCTAATTCTTTAATTTGCAGATCTGAAGATACAGCAGTTAAACTTTTACAAATCTATAGACTCTCACTCCTTTCACTGCTGAAAGTCTACCAGATAGTTTTCCTTGGAAACTCCTAACTCTGTTGAAGCACTTAATGGCTTCTAGTGTAAATCTTTCCCCTTGTGTCAGGCAACTTTCTTCTTTAATACCAAAACAGACTAGTCTCAACTCATATTCATTTGTAAATTGCTATCTAATCTTTTACCACTGAGGCCTATGTCCATTTGATGCTTCTGACAGTCCTCCCTATACTGGTTTTGTTAAGTATGTCCAACTGCTGAATTGGCAATGGCAGAAAGAACATTTACCTTTACCTCAAGACAAGAAACTCTGAGTGATAAGGTGCTAAGCTAGCAGTCTAGCAGAGAGCTCTAGCCACAGTTAGCCAACCTCTGAGCCAAACTATAAATCTGGGCATATAATGGATACCCTACACTATAGCTACTTCTACACTATAGCTACTTCTAAAAGGATTCCTGAGAAGCTGAGGTTAATGAATAAGATTTATCAGGAGTGAGGTATCAAAGGGATATTGTCATTCTCTGGAGGGCCAACTGGTGCTTAGCATCTAGAAAGTATACCGTGGCACAGTGTTTTCTGATTTCTTCTCTGAAGTAGCACCTTAACACTGGCTCATCTGTCTAAAATAAAGAACAGAACCTAGAAACACAAGGGCAAACTTAGATGAAATCCATATCCCTGCTGCACTATGAAATATGACCAGTCACTGAATACCACAAATACTAACATTTCCTGTTTTGCATACTTTAGCGGGGAAGGATGGATAATAAAAGATAGGTAGAGAAACAGAAATATACAGATAAGAACTTTGATTTCTACACAATATACAGGGGTAGTCAGGCAAATAGTCTCATCTCATGTGAGAAAGTCAGTGGAGGAGAAGGGACAAAAGATGTAAAGTTACAGAGCCATGACTGTGATAAAATATAATTTTTTTTTCTTTTTCATTCAACTGCTAGAGTGATATACAGTAAAATCTGCAAAGCCGGAACCTGTGTAAGACAGTAACTTGTCCAAGAAGGAAAACTCAAACATTTTCCACTAATAGAGAGCGACAGAAAAGTGGTAAGACTGCACCCCGTGAAAAGCAGAGAACTTGGGAGACCTGGAAAAACAAGGTAGTCCCATCGAGTTCCAGCTCTCATAGGTTTCACTGAACTTAAAATGAGAAACTCTTAGGAATGCCTTTATATTTGAAAGATGAGAATCAAAATAAGCCTTGGCTACCCAGTTCCATGCAATAAAAGAATTTCTGATTGTGGAAAGTTAGCAACTAGGGATAAAATTCCTAGCATAGTGATCAGCAATTTTTACAATGAGGTATACTAAGGTGTTCAGGGTAGGGGGAGAGGGGTGGAGGGGATATGCTGACTGACTGTTGATTCTGGGCTAGAAGAATGGCTAGAAGTGTTGAGAACGGACTTGAAAAATGGGAAAGGCTGGACGCTCGCCACTGGCAGTTAAGTCTCACTGCCATGAGCATGCGTGTGGAAATGGAGGAATGGCAGCAGCAACTGGGCCACATGGCAAAGAAAATGGCTGTGTGTCACCTCTTGTTCATGTGTTATAAGGTTGCTGAGCTTTGGATAAAATTTAACTAGCCCCAGGAGTTATTTTTTTGTAATATCAATGATTAACCAGGCATAATGCTCAATCCCAAAGAGAAGATTCAGTACTGAGGAGTAGAAAGGGGAAGAGAATGGAAGGGGAATAATTGTATGTGGGTAAAACTATAGAATATGAAAATAGTGGTAGGAATGATGGTGGTGGCTCTGTAATCCCACCAGGTGTCCCTACAGTGCAGTAAAGGTGGTAGGGAATTGACACAGGCACCTTTTCAATTGGATGCAAGCACCTTTGGTGTCACCAGGCCTTGTCCATACCCCTGGGTCTTAAAATGGATCTGCATTTTTATTTAGAATTATAAGGAGCCTCAAAAGGGAGTCACAGCTGCCTATCCTGTTCCGATGCCAGTATATCTGAAAGTACTCCAAGCCTACTTCATGCTCACAGGGACAACACTGGCCTGTTGTACATACTTAATGCTGGGAGGAGGGCATGAGTGTCCACTTATTTTAGTACTGGTGGTCTTTGTGAAGGAACGCAGATGCAGTTCTGGATCTTCCCTGATTTACCAGTATGCAGTCTAGACTTAGTTCCCTTTACTATTCTTACATACATATTCCAGAAGCCTAAACCACCATCATTCGTGGAGGTGGCATGTGGGTAAGAGGATTACTTGGATCTCACAAAAATATGAAATTCCTAGTCAGTGACTTTGCTTAGAACTTTACTAATCATTCATTTCAAGGAAACTGGAAAGAAATCATTCCTTGCTACTGACAAACGCACAGCAAAGTCCCTGTCTACTAGCTAACAAATACCATCTGAAAATTATCCTTTCTGCAGACAAGCAGAAAGCTCTGTAACTCATCTTTGTGCACTTCAAAAGAGTACCAGAACAAGCAAGCTATAAAAGTCAACCTCTCTACACTCATTTAAAGGAGATTAATCAAGCAGCATTGTCTTATAATCAGAAATTAAAATTAACATATATACACACAAAACTAATAATGCTAAATATTGTAACAGGAAAAAGATAACATTTGAACTGAATCTTCACAGTCTACAAAATACCATTACTATTTTCCTTCTGGCTTTCCTTTCTGTGGTTGGAAAGCGAAGCCCCTTAGTTTGGACTTCATCTTCCACCAATGACAGAGCTCAAAAAAGTTGATTTTTTCATGAGTTTCATGAAGGCTATAGGTCAAGATGGTTGTAATTTTTCTTGCATAGTTTTCAGTGATTGCATATTGGCTAACAATAATTTTTTTAATTAAAAATATCTTAAATCAAATTAAACAACAGTAATCTTCTTTTACTCTTTCATGAAATCTTCCTAATACAATTATCACAGAAGCCTAACTGTATTTTCTCCTAAAGAGAAGATTAATTTGCAGAGATTATGTAGTGCAACTGGTTAACTTGCAGGAAAGAGACAACATACTAATATAACTTCACCATCCAAATATGGGAAATGTGTTTTGGATACCCAGTTAATAAAATATATCCATGGTCTGCAGTGTCCTTCCTATTTTATATCCAGCACAGCACTGCGATTCTAGTTGAAGAGAATGGAATCGGGATCTTGGTTCGCCATCTGTGCTATATGCTTTAACACATCCTTTTTGGTAATGATTCCAAGCAATCGCCTAAAAGACAAAACGCAATACAACAAAACAAAAACAAATCTGTAGTTAAAATAACATTTCCGAAGATGACACTTTTCCTCCTGATTCTTTTTCAACTTTGTCTTTGAACACTAGCTGCACTTACAGAATGATGAGACAACATTACACCAGGAAAATGGGACAATGCATAGACTCCTAAACATGCTCCAAGCATTTCTACCTCTAGGTCTTAGATCAAGCAATTTCTTCTGCTTTAAATATTCTTCTCTACCTATGTGAATCTTATTTACCTTTTGCAGTCCAGCCCCTATTCCAGAACACCTTCTCTGATCCTACAAACCAGCAGTAACTATGCCTTCCTCCCAGCAACAGCACTTTTTGTGTGTGCCTCTTTTGTAGCACTTGACCTGTCTGCTATTGTACTGTAATCATTTGTGTGTTCTTAGCTTTTCTATGACACTGTAGACTCCTCGAGGCAGAGAAAGGTCCTTATTCAATTATCTCTCTCCTCAGAATCTAGTGGAATACCAACTTACATGAAGTATGGATTCAGTAAATGTTGAATGAACCAGTTAGGGAAAGGTCCTTTACTGATTTAAATCTTGCAAGAGACCTACTATACCATTTAGAAATTTTAGAGGAAGGTAAAATTCTTATGTAATTGCTGGATAAGAAATATCCGAGAAAGGGAAAAAGCCAAGGCTCTGGGAGTCATAGGACGTGTGTTTAAAGCTTACCACTATGGCAACAACAACAACAAACTAAATAAAATTTTAAATATAAGTTAATATAAATAAATCCTACCTCTATAATTCTGACGAAATTGGTCTGGCATGTGGCTTGGGCATGGGCAGTTTTAAAATCATCCCAGGTGATTCTAATGTGAAAAAATGCCTACCTCTATTATTTATTAACTGGGAGCCACTGTGCAAATCATTAAACCTCACTGAAACCTGGTTTTCTTATCCTCAAATAATAGTAACAAGGGTATTGTAAGGGCCAAGTACTATACATATACTACCTAACACCATTATAATTTTAGTGCTGCCTGTTTAAAAGAACACAGCTGTTTCCTTTGTGGGGGAGGAGCTGAGTTATTTATAATGTGCAACGAACAGTTAACCAACAGTTAAACATACTTTCTTTCCCAAACTCATTTTCTATTAATTATGATGATAAAAGAAATACATCCATCTCTGTTTGAAAGCTTCAAAAGGCCTATAAACCAAACCAAACCCATTGCCGTTGAGTTGATTCTAATCAGTGACCCTGTAGGACAGAATAGAACTGTCCCATAGGGTTTCCAAAGCTGTAATCTTTACAGAAACAGATTGCCACATCTTTCTCCCATGGAGTGGCTAGTGGGTTCGAACCACCAACCTTTCAATTAGCAGCCAAGCACTTAACCACTGTGCCATCAGGGCTCCTCAAAAGGCCTGTAAGTGCTACTAATGTTCATTTGAATTGGGTTCTCCTCCTTTCTTTTCTCTCTCTACATCCTCTTTTCTCTCCCAATTCATCTCCACCAAAGAGTTCTTACCCATTGTGTGTAACCAGGCACTGACGCAGTCCCAGCTTGCGGAAGATATCCACTACAATCTCCATGGGTGTAAGATCTGTCACAGTGAAGGGGCTGAGATCCAGGATGTTACGAAGCTTCAGGGTAGGTGGAGTGTATGGTGGCACTGGAGGAGAATGCTCAGTGAAATAAATGATGGAAGTGCTCACAATCCCATCCTGTTTTTTTCGAGCATTTTCTATTTGAAAAGTGAGAGGGAAAAAAGTTGAAAATGAAGTGTTAGTTCTAGCTTTCTGGCCCCAACCACTCCCCTCTTCCCTCTGTCTTCCCCTGTTTCATGCATATTTATTTATTTCCATAGTGGATTCCATTATCCCCTGTCTGAAATTCTTACCAATTGAAATAATGAGATCCCTTCGGAGGACAAAACCCACAAGTCTTTGGGACTCCCGGGACACTACTACTGGAAAGCCACTGTAAGTGGTTTCGTTGATTATGGTCTCTACATCCTCTACAGACATACTGTCCTGAGTAAGGACAGTCAACAGAGGATCATTTCTCCGGGGTTTCATCACATCCATTGCCAGTGTCTTATGAGCAAACTCTTCTTTGGCTTCAAGAAAGGGGTATCCATTAAGATGGATGTGGGCATCATAGATGCCCTCCCGCCCAAGAGCATCTGCCACCCACTTGCTTGTCATTGCTGCAGCCATTAGAGGCACAATGTATTCCAAGCCACCAGTTAGTTCAAACATTATGACAACAAGAGAGACAGTCATCCGAGTCACTCCACCTGCAAAGCAACAGAAACAAGTTACTGAAGACAGGCAAAATACAGGATTCATTATAATTATAGGCCTGTCACAGGTCCCATCCAGAAAAGCTTACTTACCAGCAATATTGAGTCCCCAGCAATTGCATTAAAGTAACGTTACAATGTACATGATTCAGATTTCTCAAAATAATTATCCACAAAACTACAAGTTACCTTTTTCTTCAGAACATCTTTATTAACATTTAAGAAAATATAAAACTGTTCTCTAGGTGATAACATAAAAATTCACTAAATAAATGTATACATTTAAGCCATTATGACTGGTGAAGAGTAAAGACGTTTCCCAGTAAATATAATTAATATAAACAGTCAGCTAGATATTCAGGCCAAGAAAATATCTATTTCTCAAAAGCATTTTAATGCCCTGGGTTACCCTGGGGACTCACCAGTTTACCCAAGGTACACTTAAAAATAACTATTAATTTTGTGGGAGAACTTTTGAAAATACGAACACAAAGCACAAATTACTCCAGCTATTCCTATGAGGTAAAATGTTGAATTAAGTCTATATCGGCCAAACTGTTTAGAAAAGCTCTGACCTGTTTAAAAGGAAAAAACAAATAAATACAAGGGAGGTATATAAAAAACAGTGAAGATTTCTAACAACCATTTCTACGTCATTCCAGAGCTGTCTGTGTCCTTTTGCCAATAGTAAATCTGAGGTTCCCCAAGCATTCCCCACTCATTAGGAAGATACAAGATACTTCCTTGATTCTTTTTTTTCCCCCATTTGTCTGTTGCTTCTTTTTTTCTAATTATAAAAATAATACACATCCATTGTGAAAAATTCAAAAAGTATATAAAAGAAAATAATTGTCCATAAGCTCACTGCCTAAAAATAAGCACTATAAACATTTTAAAATATTAAGTTTTTTCTATGCAAAAATTTTTATTTTTTGTGTATTTTTATATAGGTAAAATCCTATTATATGTTTAATTCCATACCATGCTTTTCCTCCCATTTTATATTGGGAACATTTCCCATATTGTTACAAATTTATTTAACATCATATTTAAAGATTAAATATATTAACATATTTACTGACTTCATAATATAATATATGGATGTACCATAATTTGTTTAACCAGTCCCTTACTGTGCACATTTAGGTTAATTCCATTTTTTAAATTGTACTTTAGATGAAGGTTTACAGAGCAAACTAGTTTCCCATTAAACAATTAGTACATTTATTGTTTTGTGACATTGGATGCCAAACCCACAACATGTCAACACTTTCCCCTTCTCGACCTTGGGTTCCCCATTACCAGCTTTCCTGTCCCCTCCTGCATTCTTGTCCTTGCCCATCCTTGGCCCTGGGCTGGTGTGCCCATTTAGTCTCATTTTGTTTCATGGGCCTGTCTAATCTTTGGCTGAAGGGTGAACCTCAGGAATGACTTCATTACTGAGCTATAAAGGGTGTCCAGGGGCCATACTCTTAGGGTTTCTCCAGTCTCTGTCAGACCAGTAAGTCTGTGTGTGTGTGTGTGTGTGTGTGTGTGTGTGTGTTAATTCCAAATTTTTGCTATTATAAATAATACTGTGATGAGCATTCCTGTAAAAATGTCTTCATCCAAATTTCTGATTATTTTCTCAGTATGAGAGAGTAGGATCACTCTCAAAAGGAGGACTGTAGATATACAGATATATAGAAATAATGTTTTCTTAAAGCCCTTGAAAAATGGCACACCCAACAGAAAACCGACGGTCATTAAAAAAATCTGCAGCCAATTATGTTTAATATCACTCCTCTTTATGTCACCTGGGGAGCAACTTCTTTGACATCAATTTAAACACTTACTCACCTAAGCATGCTGCAGCCCCAACCATTGCATAAAGGCCAGGTGTGATACAATCAGCTCCTTGACTACACCAGCTATTGAAGATGGCCCAGTCATGGTGGTAATAAGCCAGTTGTTCCATTCCTACTCCTAAAAGTCGGCCTGCTATAGCACCAACAGCCATGCTAGGTATAAACAGGCCAGAAGGGATCTGCAAAGAGAAAGCAATGTATGATTGAGAAATGATGTGACTGTTTGGTACATGGTAAGGGCTATAGCACTGACCCTCTACGAAACAAACAGGCCAATGACAATTTAACTACGCACTATGCTACCAAATGGCTGTAAACATTTGTGTAACACTATAGGGACTAGAGGTTCTCTGGGACATGCAGGCCCGTCTAGACTAGAGGTTCGGGGTCCATCAGGCAAGAGCCTGAACTCTCCAGACCAACGCAGAACTGGAGGCAGAAATTAAGCCTTTCCCAAAGAAAAAGGAGAACAGATGGAGTTTCTTATATATACAGACATTTCCCCTAATTCTGAACTCTTAATCAACAACAACAACTACCCTTAATTTACTATATACCATGTTCTGTGCTGGATGCTCTACATACAAGATTTCATCAGTTCTTTACAACAACCCTAGGAAGTAGGTGTTATTATTCCCAAATCACAAAGAACCTAAGGTTCAGAGAAATTAAGTAACTAACTCAAGGTCAAGATTTAGTAAATGCTGGTGCTGGACTGAAATGTGCTGATCATAACTACCCTCATATGTTAAATCTTAACCCATTGCTCACACAAAAAAGATGACACATGAGGTTTCAGTTTATTTTTATAACAGTATAAAGAAAAACTAAACAATTAAAATTTTAAAATGAGATAGTGACTGGTTGTATGACTATCTAAAAGAGGAAACTTCATCTACTTGCCTGCCCTTTTTCTGACTCCTAGGATGCAAATATAGTGAAGGATAAATAAAAACAGCAGATTAATTAAAAATAGATTGTGTTTGATTCTGGAATATGTTTGCATCTGTGTGGGTCTGATGGCCTGCAAATTCACTCTAAACGAAAGAATGAAGGTGAAAATTGAAGTCCAGAAGCACTGCAAAACTTTTCAAGATCTCCGTTTATCCCTGTGTTGAAGGGATGCATGAATCATCTCAAAGATTACACTGTTGCCTAAACTGAGTTTCTGTTCCTCATTTTCTGGCTTGAATCTCAGTTTCCCTAGAGAATAGAGCGAAGTAACTTGGTAGTGGGGTGTTAAAGAACAGGAAAAAAAAAAAAAAAACCTAGGAAATACCTTAACAAATTTTCCTTTCTGGTTTCTTCTGAAATACAGAAGTAGTGCTTAAAGTAAAACATGCTGACCTTATGTCTGCTTTTAATAGTTTAAATATTAATTTAGGATCACCTGTAAAGTGGATGCTCAGTTCTTGATAACTGAGCATTGATACCATATGTAAAAGATACATTTTGCTATATATGAGGTTGACCCACATGAAACTGCTATTTTAGAAGTCAAAGTGGCAACTTCATTTGGTTCAACCTCATATTTTGCTATTTTGGTAAACTCTAAAGCCACTCTATAAGGACCAACACTGTGTTGGTCAGATATTGTTTTAATATGAAACGCACTGGAATAAATACCACAGAATTCTTTTTGAGGGGCAAAAATATGTTTTCCTCAGAAAGGGAGAAAACATTTCTACCTATAATCTCTCACTGAGGTTTGCATTTGGGCTAAAACTTAGTTTGAAATATTTGAGGCAGAGGTACAATTATCTAGGAAGTTACAAAAACGTGGGGATATAAGACTACTGGGGGTGGGAGGATGATGTTTGGTAAAGTTGAAAGCTCCATGAGTGATCAGGAATATATCATACCTTGGTTTTGCCCTCCAACACCCACAACCGCACATGCATCCACTAAGTACCCAAAGAATCTCCTCACCTTCATGCCAAAGGTGAATATAGTAATGACAATTTTCAGTATGAGTGTCAAAGCCAGCTGCCACATTGCACTGTAGACTCCCAGGCCAGCAGGTCTGTCAGGCAGTTCACCCCCCTTGCTTGTGTTGAAACGGTTCTCATAATCACAGAGCTTGGAGGAGTCCAGAAGGCCACAATCATTAAATAACTCCGAGATGAGCTCACTCGTGCTCATACGGGTATATTCATTGGGGAAAGCCAGGATGGCAGTGATGGCTGTCACGACGAGTACCTCTACGACAGGATACTTGCCCAACTGGGTGGTCTTACGCTTCCGACACCAGGCAATGTTTGTGCGAATAAACAAAGCTCCCCACAGGCCACCAAATATGCCCAGCAGAATGAATGGCACAAGCTCAAAGAGATGCCATGGGGTGTGAAATTCCACATAAAATAGAACCAGGCGGCTGTTCCCAAACGGATTGATGGAACGTAGAGTAAATGCTGCCACCAAAGCAGCAAAGAAAGAACGCCACAGTGTTTTGAGGGGAAAATAGTAGCTGACCTATAAGAGAGAAGGTGAGAAAGCAAACTCAGTCAATATGCAGAAACTGTTTTGGGTGAAAAGTTTGTGCTGAGGAAATTAGAGTATTGAGGATGAAAACTGTGTATAGACTTCTAGAGTCACATGGTAAGCACTGAGTTGAGCAGAGCACTTAGGGACTGCAATGTACATATGCAGATCTTGGCCAAAATTCCCAACACAAAAGCATGCACATGCTCAACAGACAGTTAAAAGTAGTTACCTCTTCTAGGCTGAATAATACTCCGCCAATAGGTGCCCCAAAAGCTACAGATACACCAGCTGCTGCTGCAGCCGACAAAACCTATGATCCAAAACTCAAAATTAGTAATAGGATAATGCCATTTTCCTACCTTCAAATCACATTTTTAAAAACATTACTTTTAGTAAAGTTTACTAAACATTAAAACAAACACTGTAGATACTGAATTTTGAACACATGATTCATATGCTTGAACAGGTAAGAGGACTTTGCCTTTGTAATTGATTTAGACATGTACCTTATTCTAAATTATGCCCTCTCCCCATCCCCAATACTCCCAATTCAGTAACTGAATCTAAGTTTATAGACTATTCACCACCTAAATGAAGTAGTTACAGTGATGTATTTACATAGCACTTTGTAAAGGAATGCTTTTTAAAATGAAATTTTAAAAAATATTTTGTTATTGTTGAGAATATACACAGAACATATGCCAATTCAACAATTTCTGCATGTACAATTCAGTGATATTGATTACATTCGAGTTGTACAACCATTCTCACACTCTTTCTGAGCTATTCCTCCCCTATTTACATGAACTCACTGCCCTCTAAGGTTCCTCTCTAAATCTTTCGAGTTGTGTCAGTTTGATCCTATATAGATAGATCTTAAAAGACCATAATGCTCAAGGCAGACAGCCTTTACTAGTTAAGCTAAACTATTGTTTGGTTTTAAGAAGACTCCAGGGGATATTTTTGGTTTAAGGTTTAAGATTATCTCAAGGCAATAGTTTCAGGGGTTCATCTACCTTCCATGGCTCCAGAAAGTCTGGAGTCCCTGAGAATTTGAAATTCTGTTCTACATTTTCCCCCCTTTGATCAGGATTATCCTACAGAATCTTTGATTAACATGTTCAGTAACAGTAGCTGGGCACAGTCCAGTTCTTCTGATCTCATGGCAGAGGAAGCAGTTGTTCATGAAGGCAATTACCCACACATCCATTTCCCCCTCCTATTCCTGACTCTCCTTCTTCCTCTGTTGTTCCAGGTAAATAGAGACCAACTGTTGTTCCTTGGATGGCTGCTTGTGAGGTTTTAAGACCCCAGGTACTATTAACGAACTAGGAGGTAGAACAGAAGCACTAAACATGTTATTAGGCCAATTAACTGGGATGTCCCATGAAATCATGACCCTAAACCTCCAAACCAAGGAACTAAATCCCATGAGGTGTTTGGTTGTACATAAGCAGCCTCAACAGCTACTCTTTTTTTTTTTTTTTGGTTATTGTTGTAAATATATCTATCACATTAAATGAGATTTTAAAGAAGGTTCTAATAACACAAAACTGAAGTTACATTTGGCTCACAGCTATTCATGAGCTGCAAATTCTGAAATACTCATACAATAAGTATTTAGAGTTTCTTGTTCTTTGTGTTCTACTCCATGCCCAGAACCTTATGAAAACAGAAATAGGAAGGCAACTAGAAGCAAGGTCGAGGATAGATTTTTAAGGGAAGAGTAGACCTAAATATGTTTAGGTGTGGTAAGGAAAGGGGCTAGGAAGAAAGCAGGGGTCACAGGGAGAGAATGAGGGACAAAGAGGTGGGGAAAGAGTGCAAGTGAGCTCATATATATATTTATAGAACAACGCTGGTATTATGAATGCATATACCTGTAAAATATGCATAACAAACACTATTAATTGCAAACAAACAAAAATTCATGGAAGAATAAATTCCTTTCATTGGATTCTGGTTGCTGTGGACAGATAAATGATTTGCAGTAGTAGGAAAATATTTAAAGAGAAAGTTGAACTAAATTAAGATTCTGAATAAAAGCATTTTTGGCAAAATAATTAGAAAGGTTTCTCTGGGAGTGTAAAATGACCCAGGAAAATGAAGGGAGGAGTGAGATCTATGGTGCTAACTGGTGAGAACTTACAAATTCATAGCTAGAATGGCTTTGAGAAGGATAAGGACTAAAAAAACCAAACCAGCTGCTGTGGAGTCAACTCTGACTCATGGTGAACCCATGCATGTCAGAGTAAAACTGTGCTCCAAAGGGTTTTCTTTTTTTAATTGTACTTTAGATGAAGTTTTACAACACATAGTTTCTCATTAAACAATTAGTACACATATTGCCCTATGACAATGGTTAACAACCCCACAACATGTCAACACTGTCCCTTCTCAACCTTGGGTTCCCTGTTACCAGCTTTCCCATCCCCTCCTGCCTTCTAGTCCTTGTCCCTGGACTGCTGTGCCCCATTAGTCACGTTTTGTTTTACAGGGCTGTCTAATCTTTGGCTGAATGGTGAACCTCGGGAGTGACTTCATTACTGAGCTAAAAGGGTGTCCGGGGGCCATACTCTCGGGGTTTCTCCAGTCTCTGTCAGGCCAGTAAGTCTGGTCTTTTTTTGTGAGTTAGAATTTTGTTCTACACTTTTCTCCAGCTCTGTCTGGGACCCTCTGTTGTGATCCTGGTCAGAGCAGTCAGTGGTGGTAGCCAGGCATCATCCAGTTGTACTGGACTCAGTCTGGAGGAGGCCGTGGTAGTTGTGGTCCACTAGTCCTTCCAGACGGTTCTCAACGGCTGATTTTTCAGAAGTAGATCGCCAGACCTTTCTTCTGAGGTGCCTCTAGGTGGACTCAAACTGTCAACTTTTCAGTTAGTAGCTGACTGCTTTAACTGCACCACCCAGGGACACCAGTATGAGGACAGCCAATATTAAACTTGAGAAAGGGGATTTTGGTAACAATGTTTAGGATGACTTATGGGGGAGAAGAAAGAATCAGGTTGGCTGATCTGCTTTAATTTTTATATTGCAGAAAGGAGTCTGTCTGGGTCCTTCCTTCTCAAATCTCTATTTTACTCTCAACCATCTGCCCATTTTTAGGAATTCATTGGACATAAAACAGTTGTTACTGATGGTGAGAACAAGAGGAAAACGAGAACTGGAAAGTCTAAATAAACAATAGGAATTAAAGATCCAAACATTCTTGAGTATAGTTAAGAGAAATATATGACATTTCTATACAGAAACTACCAAATCAAATTCTCCTCTCATTTTACAAGGAACTATTTGAACAAAAGTGCCAATTTTATGGAATGAAAGTAACCAGCAAACTGTAGTTCCAAATTCACCTCCCACCCATGCAAACACAGCAGCAATCAACACCTTACTAAACCTCTTGCCCATTAAAACATCCTTTAAACTCTTTAGCTTCTCTTGTACAGTATTCCAGTTGAACATATATCCCTCTACCATATGACAGGTAGCTAAAAGATTTCCTGATCTCTCTCATGCTAGCCTTCCTCTCCTTTTAAACTGTGCCAGGAACTTTCCCCCTTTGTACTATCAAAATTATTCCATATTTGAAATTTAAGCATCTTTGAGTTTCCTTCTGGGTCTTGTGTTTACTTTTTTTTTTTTTTCCAGAATAAATTGCTAGTTTCCACTTTTGTGAAAATTTTGTTTTAATGAAATGACCTTGGTCTTGACCCATTCCATATGTGACGTCTTTGAAATTCAAGGAAAGTTGAGCAAGAATCATTATTTTCAAAAGTCCTCAATTATGGCAGGACAAAAGTAACCAATGACTTGAAACATTTTAAAAAACTTTCCTCCTCCTCAAAACAATATACATTAACAACTTCATAAACATGAGAATAACTATAGAGATGCTGTGGCAGGATTAATTTAGTAGGGTTGAGGCTGAAGGCAGAAGAGAGGTCTAATATAGAGAGAAATTAACTCAGTGTGGCTTAGGTAGAAAAAGCTGGCATCTGAAACATACACTGCATGTATATTTATTCTTCCACAGAAATAAACAACTTCTTTAAAAATCTATTATTTTTTGTAAGTTATTTTGTAATAGAAACAACACATATTTGTATAGAATTATATACATAAAAAGTTAAAGTCCTTACTTCTCTTTCACCACTACCTCACTTTCCCACTCACCAGAGGTAGCCATTTTTAACAGTTTGAAGTAAACCTACTTTCCAGACATTTTCTAAGTGCATATATGTTGTTGTTGTTAGTTGTCACTGAATCAATTCCAATTCATGGCGACCACATGTGTGCAGAGCAGAACTGCTCCATAGGGTTTTCAAGGCTGTGACCTTTCAGAAGCAGATGGCTAGGCTTTACTTCTGAGGCGCCTCTGGGTAGGTTAGAACCACCAGTCTTTCAGGTAGTAGTCAAGCACTTAACCGTTTGTGCCACCTTTAAAAAACACTAATTGAATTATTTATACTGTACACATTGTTCAGAAACTGGATTTAAAACTTAATAGTGTTTTGTAGCCATCATTCTATGTCAGTACACATAGGGCTATCTCATTCTTTTAATGGTTGCACAATATTCCATAGTATGGATAGAATATTGTGTATTCAATTAGTCCCTTACTGTTGGACATTTGTGCACACACATGCTAGGGGGTCTGTGGGATAAATTCCTAGAAGTGGAATTTCTGGGTCAAAGGGTATTTAGATTAACATTGCTTGAATCCCCAACAAAGAGAATATTAAGACTCTATGTTATTACCTCTCTGCGCTTGGCTTCATTCTTCCTGTATTTATTGAAGCAGTGGCACAGGATGTTCCCACAGCAGCAAGCCACGTGCACTAGGGGGCCCTCTTTGCCCAGGCTCAAGCCAGATGATACTGCCAGCACCAATGTAATGGTTTTGATAATCAGGGTCCACTTACCCAAATAGCCCCTAATAATGAAACCACTCAAGATAGTTTTTATCTGCAGGTCAAACACAGAGATCAAATATAGACTAAGCAAGTAAACAAAGCTAAGAAGCAATATTCTGAACCTCAATCTTGAAATTACACATTTTGTACAAGGTACATACAAATACTTTGACCCACAGTGATCACAGTTTGGGAGCGGGCCCGGGAAAGTGTTTACATTCTCTTTTTTTTGGCCATGTGATATCTGGGCAAGTGTTTATTGTAAATATGAGAGTACAAGTATATGGAGAACAGGGAGGCAGAGACAGAATGATAATTGTTTTCCATAGTTTACAAAATGGTGGCACAAGAGACATGTTCTGAGAGGGCAAGGTTAATCTCCCCAAAACAATCTTAAAGGTTAGAAATAGCCTTGCTCTGCCAAAGAAATCCATGACTATTACTTGGTCAGGAAATAGAGACGGACAAGGTCATCTTGGTGGTTTCAGTCACCATTAAGCAATCTAAACTAAAAGTAGTTATGAATAGGGTTTTAACCACCCTCCCTTCTCTAGTTCAAATTACATAGTGGAAAATGCAGTAAGACAGTTTTATTTCTTCCACTCTAACAAAGATGACAATACTACTACTTTTTGAGTCCAGAATCTTGGGAGCTATCCTGAGTGCTTCTTGGGTAGGGAGTAGGGGAGGTCTTCAGGAGTCTGGTTCAACAGGAACCCTCAGGAGGTTCAGAATCAACTCCCTTTAACTTCCAGATGGCCCAGGCTGGGAGGAGAAGACTTAAGGGAAGACCTAGAGAAGTCCTAGATTGCCTCAGGACCTAATCCTGTTTAATATTCACCAAACTGTGGTATATGCTGGGATATATATTAAAGGGCCTTAACCAAAAAGGATCATTATTATTACAATTTATAAACCATTTTAGAGACTCACCTCAGGGATTCCGGAGCCACAGGCATAAGGTGCAAAAACCTTGACAAGAGTTACGGCAAGGAAGGCAAATAGGAGAGCCCAGAGGACATACATGAAATAGTTGACTATGTAGGCAAAGGCTCCCTAGAATAGGGAAAAAAGAAAAAGCTTGTTTTAGCTTAGATAGTCTCACTGAGGCTATGGTTTCTCAGGAGAGGAGGTCATAAAAATTAAAAAAATAAAAGACAAACGTCAAATTGCTCAAGATGTTCCTTTCCAGGGTGCAAGCAAAGCAACTATTAAAACACTGTCAGCCCACTTGCCACTGAAAATGAGTTGTTTTGCTATACCCAAAGCCAAATTACAATGGATTCTAAGAATGGACAAAAAGGTAGAGCACACTAAAAACCCTGAAACAAAATTCACTTTCTATGAGTGCTTTGATTGGTTTTGCAGTCAAACATATATGATTCTATGTCAATAGAATAGTCTTAAATAGTCTTAAAGCCTTTTCATGGGAAGGGCTGCACATTTGAAGTCAAGACTAGCTCTACAACTACATTAAATTCACCTTTGACTGTCTCTCTTCGTGTCAAATTCTCCCAAAAAGTTATATTTACTAAAATTCCTAGGTGTCTTTTTTCTTAAAATACACAGTTAAGCTCTCTAAAGAATGACTGCATCTTTGAGAGAATTTTGCTACCAAAGACTCAGCAACAAGCATATGCAGTAGAAAGTTTCTGGCCCTGACCATAAAATAAGACCAGTGAGAAGCCAGATATTCCAAAGAATAAATGGCAGTAGCTATTTTTAAAATGGAGATAATATGCTTTTGAGGCCATTTCCCTAAGCTAATAGAATGTGCCGAAAAAAATACCTCATTTTGACCACTTATAAGGATTTAACATTAAAGGGCTTGCAAATACTCACTCTTTACAAAAAATGCAATTTTGAACATTAGGACATTATGCTTGCTGGTGAAAATATTAACAGGTGAAATTCATAAAATGGCTCAAACACCTAAATATAAAACCTAAATTGATAACGGTCATGGAAGAAAAAATAGACACAACACTAGGGGCTGTAATATAATGCATAAATAGTATACAAACCATAACTAACAGTGTACAAACACCAGAAGAGAAACTAGGTAACTGGGAACTCCTAAAAATCAAACACTTATGCTCATCAAAAGACTTCACCAAAAGAGTAAAAAGAGAACCTAAAGATTGGGAAAAAATGCTTGGCTACGATATATCCAACAAGGGTCTACTATAGAATACTTCGACACCTCAACAACAAAAAGACAAATAATCCAACTAAAAAATAGGCAAAGGCTGTGAGCGGCCATCTAAGATACTCCACTGGTCTCATCCCTTCGGGAGCAAGGGAGAATGAAGAAAACTAAAGATACAAGGGAAAGATTAGTCCAAAGGACTAATGGACCACATCTACCACGGCCTTCACCAGACTGAGTCCAGTACAACTAGATGGTGCCCGGCTACCACCACTGACTGCTCTGACAGGGATCACAATAGAGGGTCCTGGACAGAGCTAGAGAAAAATGTAGAACAAAATTCTAATTCACAAAAAAAGACCAGACTTACTGGCCTGAGAGAGAATGGAGAAATCCTGAGAGTATGGCCCCCAGACACCCTTTCAGCTCAGTAATGAAGTCACTTCCAAGGTTTACCCTTCAGCCAAGGATTAGACAGGCCCATAAAACAAAATGAGACTAATGGGGCACAATAGCCCAGGGACAAGAACTAGAAGGCAGGAGGGGACAGGAAAGCTGGTAACAGGGAACCCCATGTCGAGAAGGGAGAGTGCTGACATGTCACAGGGTTGTTAACCAATGTCATAAAACAATATGTGTACTAACTGTATAACGAGAAACTAGTTTGTTCTGTAAAACTTCATCCAAAGTACAATGTAAAAAAATGTGAAAAAAAAAAGGCAAAGGATGTGGACACTTCACCAAAGAAGATATACAGGCAACTAACAGACACATGGGGAAACCCTGGTGGCGTAGTGGTTAAGAGCCACGGCACATGAGGAAATGTGCGAGATCTTTGGCCATTAGAGAAATACACATCAAAAGTATAATGAGATACCATCTCACCCCAACATTACTGGCATATTAGAAAGAAAGTAACAAATGTTGGAGAGGTTGTGGGGAGATTGGGATCTCTTATGCACTGCTGGTGGGAATGTATAATGGTACAACCACTATAGAAAAAAATATGGTGCCTCCTTAAAAAGAAATACCATACATATGATCCAGCAATCCCACTCCTAAGAAGAATATATCCTAGAGAAATAAGAGCCATCACATTAACAGACACATGCACACCCATGTTCATTGCAGAATTATTCACAATAGCAAAAAGACGGGAACAACCTAAGTGCCCATCAGCAGATGAATGGATAAACAAATTATGGTGCATACACACAATGGAATACTATGCAATGATAAAGAACAATGATGAATCTGCAAAACATCTCATAACATGGATGAATCTGGAGGACATTATGCTGAGTGAAATAAGTCAATCACAACAGGACAAATATTGTATAAGAGCACTATTATAAAAACCCGAGAAAAGGTTTACACACAGAAAAAAACAATCTTTGATGGTTATGGAGGAAGGGAGGCGTGGGAAGGAGAAATCACTAACTAGATAGTAGAAAAGCGTTAACTTTGCTGAAGGGAAAGACAACAACTTGACCAAGGCGAAGCCATAGAAGCTTCCTAGACACATACAAACACCTTAAGGGACTGAGGGCTAGGGATTATGGTCTCAGGGGACATCTAGGTCAATTGGCATAACACAGTTCAAAAAGAAAATATTCTACATCCTACTTTGGTAGTAGTGTCTGGGGTCCTAAAAGCTTGTGAACGGCTATCTAAGAACATCTACTGGTCCCAGCACGTTTGGAGCAAAGGGGAATGAAGAAAACCGAAGACACAAAGAAAATATTAGCCCAAAGGACTAATGGACCACATGAACCACAGCCTCCACCAGCCTGAGCCCAGAAGAACTAGACGGTGCCAGGCTACTACCACCTACTGTTCTGACAGGGATCACAATAGAGGGCTCCAGGCAGAGTGGGAGAAAAATGTAGAACAAAATCCAAATTCACAAAAAAGGACCAGACTCACTGGTCTGATGGTGACTGGAGGGAACCCCGAGACTATGGCCCCAGACACCCTGCCAACTCAGAACTGAAGCCACTCCCCAAGTCCACCTTTCAGCCAAAGGTTAGACAGGCCTATAAAACAAATAATAGTCGTGAGGAATGTGCTTCTCTTACTTCAATCAAGTATACGAAACCAAATAGGCAACACCTGCCCAAAAGCAAAGCCTGAGAAGGCAGGAAGGGACAGGAAACCTGGATGCATGCGCACGGGGAACCCAGGGTGCAAAGGGAAAGGGCGAGACTGCTGACACACTGCAGCGATTGCAACTAATATAATAAAAACAATTTGTGTATAAAAATTTTTAATGAAAAGCTAATTTGCACTGTGAACTTTCACCTAAAACACAATACAATTTTTTAAAAAAGTGAAATTCTAGCTACATAAAATGTAAAACTCAACAGATTTTTGACTTTATAAAAAACACTATTAAAATAATTCATTGACCTAAACAAGGAGAACCAGAAAGCTTAGTTTTTTTTCTGAGTTATAATTTTGACACAGGTATTCCATTATTTTAGTCCCTTAGAGAAACAGATTATTGCTATGTCTTCACCTTTCAAATGTGGCTAAGGGAGGACGAGGACTCTGTAGGTATGAAACAATGAGGAAAGAGAGTGAAAGGGAAAGTAATTGAAACTGGCTAGAGGCAGACACTACAGGCAAAGTTTTTGGCAGAAGAACTCCTAAAACCTAGAAGAATTATTTCGCCAAGCAAGGATTTCGTTCTTTAAAAGGAGAGCCAAAGAAATCTGTCACTCAAGAGCAACTCTCAAGCTCCTGTTTGAAAGTTACTGTTGGAACACTTACACATACACAGCTCTAAAGGATTAGCACAGGGGAGCCTTGTGATGGAACAGTTCTAAATCTTGACTGTGGTGGTAGTTCCACAAATCCACACGTCATAAAATTTCACAGCACTACATACACACAAAAATGAATGCATGTAAAATTGGCAAAATCTAAATAAGGTCTGTGGATTGTACCAATGTCAATTTCCTGGTTTTGATACTGTACTATAGTTATGCAAGATGGGGGGGGGTAACTAGGTGAAGGACACATGGGACTTCTCTAGACACTTATCTTTTTTTTTCTGGCAATTTCCTATGAACCTATAAAATCCAAACCAGTTGTCATTGAGTTGATTCCAACTCATGGTGACCCCATGTGTGTCAGAGTAGAACTGTGCTCCATAGGGTTTTCAGTGGCTGATTCTTTGGAAGTAGATCACCAGGCCTTTCTTCCAATGAACCTCTGGATGATTTCAAACCACCAACCTTTCGGTTAGCAGTGAGTGTGTTAACCATCTGAGCCACCCAGGCACTCCATGAATCTATAATTACTTCAAAAATAAAAAAGTTTTAAAAACGCAAGGGAATCTCTCTCACACAGACTCACCCTAAATTCCAGGGCTTCTCAAACTTTTCTACCCAAGTACTCCTAATCTAGCAGAGTGAATAGAGACATCAGAGTAGGGGGTGGGGTACCCAGGAGCAGAGCTGAAACAGAGATCAGGTTTTATCTCAACAAACATGGACGTTTTGCATTCCATGTTTAAAATGATAGTTTACATTTAATTTTGGGGGGAAAAAAGATTTCCTCTAAATATTCAGGCAAAACTGATGTTCTGAGAAGACACATCATGTTTATCCTTTGGTTTCACCTACCCCTGGCATACTGACCTTACCCCAGTCTGAGAAGCATAGACCTAAGCCCTCTCATACATACAGCATATATTATCTACCCCTTTCACCAAAATCTTTCCCCAAGCCAATATGCATAGTCATTTACATAAGCACTCCTATTTCTGATTTTATTATTTTCCTACCCTTCTTTCCCTTGACTCGGATTCCGTGTGTGTGCGTGCATGCATGTGTGCGCATGCGTGTGTGTGTGTGTTTATAAGCCACTTCAAATTATCTGTGGACCAAGGAGGGTATAAAAATAAATTTTAAAAAATACTAACATATATCCTAGTCTCATTCCCCTCACTTCACCAAGACAGTGGATGAACAGTGAGCTACGATAGTATCTGTTTTAGTTGGTGGAAGTCAAAGTAGAATTGAAGGGGACCTTTTTTTTTTTTGTTGTGTGTTTTTGATTTGTTTTAGTGGTAGAGATCTAACATACAATCAACTGGTAATAAAAAGGTAAGGAACTGAAAATAAAGTTACTTTTGCATAAAAACAACCACATGCTAGAAGAACAAATGAAAATATAGATTTGGTCTCAAGATGAGACTATGGGTAATTTTATTCCTGCATTTCTGTTATTTTGACATGGAATGTATCATAACACTTTTAATGTCCTAACGCAATGCCGCAGAGAAAAATTGCTGTTGGAATCTATACAATAAACGCATTTTTAACCCACTTCATCCTTTTTTTAGAAATTATATCTTACCTGTTGGGTGTGTCTGGCAATTCTACTGAAATTATCAGAGAGAGTGAAATTCAGCCACACTGTGTATTAGCAACTAGAAGAAATGCCAGGCTTGTTTAAAACAAAAATTGGGCCAACTGGAGTACCCCAGTTCCCTCAGCTCTAGGCCCCAGCCTCCTGCCGCTCCACCCCAGTCCCTGGCCAACGAGTCCCCCTGCCTCTCCTCCAGGAATGGGGCCAGTGGTGCTGCCAGTCGTGCGCTCTGGACCCAGCTTGCGCTCGGTCTTGGTCTCACGACATCAGTGGTCTCATATCGCCTCGCGCTATCCCTGTCAGTGGCACCTAAGGCTCCGTTCAGCCTGCATGCGGTTCGTTTCCGTTTCTTATTCTCCCGTTAGTCAGGAGAATCCTCCTCCATCCAGCCACCCGTCCCACTCCCCCAACATGGGGCAGCTGCAGCTGAGGATTGCGGCTGCAACTGGGGACCATACAGACCACCTCTGCTCCAGTCTCAGGTTGCTGCTTTTGATAAGAGGGCACCCTAGACCCTGATGGTGTTTTCATTCAAGATAAATTGCTCTATTGACTTTATTGATTAACTGAACACATTCAGCATGTAGAGTCCGCAAAGCACAGGACAATAAAGCTGCCTACTCATACCACCAGGAGGATCTCTTTGAAAGATTCTCCACAGAACCACCAGAGAAAATAATTTGAAGCATCATGTATTGAAACAACAGAAGGCTTCTCTGCACTAGTTAGAAACAGAGTTATGCTATTTTCAATTCTTTGAGCTCCGGGAAGCCAGGGGAGTGAGTGGAAAATCTGAAAATTCCACCATAGACTGGTTCCTGCTGTTGGTTTATACTCATTCTCTTTGCCTGGGGGACCTTGCTGTTTTACATTGGTGGTCACTTAGTACAAGGTAACGACCACCCTGATCACTCTTGCCAAAAACTGTCCAAGATTCTCGCAAAGCTTGAACACTTAAAACAGCAAGTGAAAACTTGAGGCAAAGGGCTGAAATCTCTCCGGATACCAGAAGGCCCCACTGATCAAGGGCTGGCTTCAGAAGGTACCTCCTTCAGAAGAGCAGCTTGTAAAGGCCAAAGAAGAGATTGAAAATTACAAGAAACTAACCAGAAATGGCCTGGGGAAGGATAATGAAATCCTGAAGAAGAGGATTAAAAATGGAGCTAAAGAGCTCTGGTTTTTTCTACAGAGTGAATTAAAGAAATTAAAGAATTTAGAAGGAAATTAACTCCAAAGACATGCAAATGAATTTCTGTCAGATTTGGGACATCATGAAAGGTCTATAATGATGGATCTATACTACCTCAAACAGATGGAGCAGGGGATTGGTGGGAAAAAAGAGGCCAAAGATCTGACACAGCTGGTCCAGAGGAGAATAACATATCTTCAGAATCCCAAGGACTGCAGCAAAGCCAAGAAGCTACTGTATAATATCAACAAAGGTTGCGGCTATGGCTGTCAACTCCATTATGTGGTCTACTGCTTCATGATTGCATATGGCACCCAGCAAACACTCATCTTGGAATCTCAGAATTGGCACTATGCTACTGGTGGATGGGAGACTGTGTTTAGATCTGTGAGACATGCACAGATATGGCATCTCCATTGGACACTGGTTGGGTGAAGTGAAGGACAAAAATGTTCAGGTGGTCGGCCTCCATATTTACCCATCTGGACCAGAAGACCTTGCAGATCAACTTGTTTGAGTCCATGGAGATCCTGCAGTGTGGTGGGTGTCCTAGTTTGTCAAATACTTGGTCCACCCACAGCTTTGGCTAGAAAAGGTTAATAGAAGAGACCTCCAAGAAGCTTGGCTTCAAATATCCAGTTATTGGAGTCCATGTCAGATGCACAGACAAAGTGGGAACAGAAGCAGCCTTCCATTACATCAAGAAGTACATGGTGCATGTTGAAGAACATTTTCAGCTTCTTGCACACAGGATGAAAGTAGACAAAAAAGAGTATTTTGGCCACAGATGATCCCTTGTTATTAAAGGAGGCAAAACCAAAGTACCCTACATTATGAATTTATTAGTGATACCTCCATCTCTTGGTCAGCTGGACGGCACAATCGACACACAGAAAATACACTTCTGGGTGTAATTCTGGATATACACTTGCTCTGCCAGGCAGACTTCCTAGTGTGTACTTTTTCATCCCAGGTCTGTCGAGTTGCTGATGAAATCATGCAAATACTGTACCCCCATGCCTCTGCAAACTTCCATTCTTTGGATGACATCTACTATTTTGGAGGGCCAGAATGCCCACAACCAGATTGCCATTTATCCTCACCAACCTCAAACTGCAGATGAAGTCCTCATGGAGCCTGGAGATACTATTCATGTCGCTGTAAATCCTTGGGATGGTAATTCTAAAGGTGTCAACAGAAAACTGTGAAGGATAGGCCTATAACCCTCCTATAAAGTTCGAGAGAAGACAGAGACAGTCAAGTACCCCACCAACCCTTAGGCTGAGAAATAAAGCTCAGATGGAAGAAATAAACAACTAGACTTAGTTCAAACCATTTGAGCCAAACAATAGACCAAGAAGGCTCTGACCTAACAATGTGTGATTAAGTGAGTAGACACCCTCAGCATCGAAAGCAACTGAGAACAGACAGATGCTTCATTGGTTGAATTCCTCTTTAACAAGGGCTGCAATGCCCTCAAACTGATGCACGGTCCAATGATGTACTCACATATAACATGCAAACAGGTTATTTTTTACTTTGCCCCTTCTTTCAAGATTATGTCCCCATGAAACAAACACTGCCACATTGTATAATTTAAGTGACACAGACATTTTGTGAGACTTCAAACATGGTGCCGATATCTGAGAGACCTGTGTGACCCAATGAGAAGACCCAAATAGTGCTCTACTCTCAGGAGAGTGGATTCTTAGCCAGTGGTGGTATTGTGATCATTGAATTCATTCCAATCAACAGATTCAGAATGAGGATGGCTATATTTGCTTTATAAGGCTGTCTGGTTTTTTTAAAGTAATTGCATCAGTTCATCCACCTCATCATTAATAAGTGAAGCATACATCAGAAAATAAAATATTCACACTCCACCAGCAACTTTTGTAAAACAATGCCATGAACAGATTCTTTAGTACTTAATGTTTCTTGACATTCTCTTTGATAAGAAAAAACAAATTTTAAAAAAAGGAAAAAATAAAACAAAAATTTTAAGTCAGTGTATAAGAATCAAATGACTCCACGTGTCAGTAGCGATGGAAATAGGCCTGCACTTAAACCACAGAGAAAGGCAGGTGGCACTGGTTTCCCTTTTCTTAGAAAGGAAAATAAGGGAAGATTCCATAAATTGCCATGAATACAGTATAAGAAATAAAACAAATATAAGAATAAGGTCAGTGGTTCAGAAATCTTTATTACATGTTACCTCATCCGTGCTGATGATAAGCTGGGACCAGCTATTCCACTCTGGGCATTTGTCTCTCTCTTCAAAAGTGACGTGCTCAGAGTTCCAGCAACAATGTTCACGGTTAAACCAGAATTCTCTTGTGCAGATACCTTCTTTTAAGTCTGTCATCCAATGAGCAGAGATGTCTATCAAACCAGCTAAGGAACCTGATTTGGACGGGGAAAGGGCAAAGTTAAATTCAATTTCTGAAACTTTCTTCTTTGGTAATCAGAATAAGTTTACAGTGAAAACCAGTGAAAAGGAATGAAAATAATGGACAACCTATACTTTCTCTTTCTATCTGCAATATCTTTCTGATGGTCTGCTTGCTTGATTTTCCCTTATCTCTGCATTAAACACTTGTTTGTCATCTGTAGAATTCCCATTTAGGAGAAACTTAGAGGAAAGCAAAATGGTTGAGTGCGAGCAAGGGACTAGGGGATTTGTCTTTAAGCTGAATTTACATGGCAAACACACTGCTTTGGCTTAGAGTTTTTGTATACTGATAATAAAGACAGCAAAGTCTATTAAAGATTATTTAATTTTCACTATATACATATGATCTAGAAAACATGAATTGTCCACATTGAGGACTATCACTTTATATTTATTTGAGATGGCACAGGGTGAGGGCGAGCTGGTAAAGATTATGAGGAGAAGGGCTAAGTCTTGAAGGATAGCAGGATTTTTCTCCATGGACAAAGGAATTTGAGTAACAGCAGGAAGCCATTCAAGACTAAGGGAATTAAATGTATAAATGTACAAAACTGTGATGTGCACGTAGGTTAGGGTGAAACCGCAGACATCTTGAAGCCTCCTGAACCTATAACTCACTAGGACATGAACATTCTGAGTTTTCTTTGTGAGAAAGAGCAAACAATTATACACAGAATGTTCACCAAAGGAAAATCATGAGGAAGGGAAGAGTGAACTGGGGACTTACGCACTGTGGCTAATCGACTGACAGGGTTAAGATAGTAATATTACTTTAGATTCTGGCCTTCATCATCATTTTTGTTGTCCAGATGAAGAAACTCTGGTATAATAAAATTAAATAGCCCAGAACTGTGCTTTAGGGAACTAGGAAAGATACCATAAAATTCACAGCCCCTGAATTCCCAGATTGTTCCTGCATTCAGACACACTGCCTCTGCAATGCTTAAAAACAAAATGCCTTGTGTGTATAAGGGAAAGAAAAATTCATTGACCACCTAATGACAATAAATACATTAAGAAGTCAAGGATATTACACCTACATTCCAACAGGCTAGAGGCCGTGTCCTATATGTTTTGGTAGGTGCTAAAAGTGTTAAACACAGGTTATCTACATACTTGAATAACCTATTCAAATCTAACACATTGTTTGAAACCTACTCTCAGTCACTTTAGCCCCCAGGTATCTCTTCCTTCTAATTCTTACATATTTATTGCCTGGATTCAGAGTATTAACATGATTTTATAGTTTGGCTGATTCTCTAGTTGCTTCACCTGTGCATGTCGCATGTCTTATTTTACCTAACACTGTTACTCTCAATCCTATATCCCCTTCTACTTCTCCTCCTTCCTCTTCCAATTGGCTTTCTTCTCTGGTTACAAATTTTATCAGGTTTCCCTTACCCTAAAGAATAAAATGCTCTCCCTTATCTTTGTTACCACTTCAAGTTTTTGTCCCTTTTCTCCTTCCAACGACTACCAAACATCTCTAAAACTTCTATACTGGTTGCCTCCCCTTAATATCTGGCTCCTAACGTTTACCGGAGATTGTTCTTCAAGATCATTGATATCCTCCTAACGGCTAAACTGTATAACCTTTTCGCAGTCATTTTCCTCTTCTTCAAGTTCTCTGCAATATTTGGCATTACAGACTATCCAGTGTATTATTACCAGCTCCAAACCTGTCCAGACCATGCTCTCTCTCCTGTGAGAGCCACAAAGGGCAGAGTTAACCCCCTGGATCAGGCGTTTGCAAACTACGGCTGGTGGACCAAATCCTGCCCACTGCCTATGTTATAAATAAAGTTTTATTCAATCACAGCCACCCTTATTTACCTATTGTTTATGGCTGCTTTTGTGCTACATCAGTAGAGTTAAATAGGTGCTACAGAGACCATTTGGCCCACAAATAGTTACTATCTGGCTCTGTATAGAAAATGTGGACCCCTGCCCTAGACAATCTTTGAAAACCCAGATATGCATGAGCCATTCCTCATTTGCTACAATAATTTTATACCCCATGACTCATGAATCATTACCTCTGGGTGACAGGAGCAGCATTAACACTGGGCACTGTGCTAAGTGCTATGTGTGCTGTATCTCATTTAATCCTCACAACAAACTTATAATATAGGTAGTCTTATTATCCCTATTTTACAGATCAGCAGACTAAAGCTTCCAGAGGTTAAGAAACTTGTCAAAAGCCACAAAATAAGCAAATTTCAGAGCTGGAAGTCAAATCCAGTCAAATTTAGAGCCTAAACTGTTAACTGGCATTTTATGCCATCGATCTCCAGGTTCCCACCTAACTACTATTTTAGTCAATATCCCAGATCTTCCTAGGCCTCATCTTTTAATGTCATAAGGACACAACTCTTAGCATCTCTGCCTGGTATCCTTGGCTTTCCGCTTCTACGATGGGAGAGGAAGTCTTCTTGGGAACTTGTTTTAAAGTTGTATTTGCATAGCAAGTATACTATTTTTAGTTAAACTGTATATAATTTGGGGTGGCTTGGGAGGTTGATGGAGATTACAGGAAAAGGTGGTACCATCTCACCCCTAAGCCAGTATGAAAGACTGAGATCATCAACTCCTTAAGGGTACGAGGCATATCTTACATGCTTTTCTGTACCAATTAATGAGAGAGTAGAAGTTAAAGAAGTATTAAAAATAATTTCTCAGTAAGTCCTCTTCAACAACTTCTCTCCTAAATCTCATGCAATGCGTGTTAAACTCAACTGATTGTCCCCAACAGATGGGTTCTTCCTCAAAGCAAGAACCAAAATGCAATGAAAACACTTTAAGATGGGTACAAGATTTTATAGCTTATAAAATGTTTTTAAATACATTTCCTCATTTAACCCTCATATAGTTGAGGTAGGTGATTCAAGCATTGGACCTCCTTTACAAACAGGGAAACCGAGCTTCCAAAAAGTTCACCGGCAATTCATTTCAGGTAGGAAAATAGCAAAACACAGCACTCAACTCAGTTCATGACACTTGGGAGGGGGGAGGAGTAGGGCACACCACAATCTTAGATTTGGTTTACCATACCTGATAAAAGACCAATAAGTAGCATCAATAACCAGCCAGAAAAAGCATCACTCACACTGTGAATTAAGGCCCATGTTGACTCTTTGCTTTTATTGGTAATCTAGGGAGAAATGAGAAAACATTGATACACTCTACACATACTCCTTTTTCATCTCAAAATTGCTCAGTGAAGAAACACAAAGACAAATTACCTGGGAATGAGACCAACTTGGAGTTACTTCTCAAATAATTTTTCGCTGAACCAATTTAATAAAGAACTTTGAGGTTTACTGAAACTTCTATACTGTAATAGTTGCTGTTGGGTGCCTGGGAGTCAATTCCAACTCATAGCGACCCCTTATGACAGAGTAGAACTGCCCCATAGGGTTTTCTAGGCCATAATCTTTACAGAGGCAGACTGTCAGGTCTTTCTCCCATAGAGCCACTAGGTGGGTTTGAACAGCCAACCTTTCCTTAGCAGCGGAGTGCTTAACCTTTGAGCTACCAGGGCTTCACCATTCAGCTGCTAATTTCTTATAGCACCAACCTGTTTTGTTTACGGCAGTGATTTCTTTCTGACCAGACATCAGATATTCCAAGGAGAGTCTCTTGACTCACAGCAAATATTTTGCTTGTTTTCCAAAGAATAAACAAATGCACGCTAATTTCAGTGGTGAAAATACACCTTGTGGTTTACTACCTAGGGTGTGCTTCAGGTCGGGCAAATTCCAAGTCTTGACTGCCACAAACCCGTAATTGTAAGTTGACCATAGGCACTAAGTGATATCAAGGATGCAGTTCTTTAATTTTCAGAAACCTACTAGAGGTGATCAAAAGGTGCAGAAAGTTTTACCTTTTGGGTCTTAGGCTTGTCAATTTAACCCTTTAGCACCCAAACTTTAAAACCAAGCATTCTGACAGCTTTGGTATTGGTACTTCCCCCTTCTTTGTACCTCTATTTCCTATCCATAAAACTGTGTCTCAGCTATCCCATCTTCACCTACAGTAATATCAAAAAAAAAAAAAAAAAAAAAAAAAAAAAAAAAAAAGACCTGAAATCTACTGCTCTGGAGATTTGCTTGGCTGTAGAAGGAGGAAATCAAGAACTCTGAAGAGAATATGGGGTCAGTTTAAAAACCAAATTTTAATGGAACCCTCATCTATTGCTGGTGGGAATGTAAAATGGTAGAGCCACTGTGGAAAACAGTTTGAGGTTCCTCAAAAAGTTGAATATAGAACTACTTTATGACCCAGCAATCCCAATCCTAAGTATGTAATACCCAGAAGAATTGAAAGTAGCAACGCAAATAAATACTTGTACACCTATGTTCACTTCAGTACTATTTACAATAGCCCAAAGGTGGAAGCAACCTAAATTTCCATCAACAAATGAATGAATAAACAAAATATGGTGTACACATACAATGGAATATTACTCAGCCATAAAGAGAAACGAAGTCTCGATGTATGCCACAACATGGATGAAACTTGAAAATATTATGTTGCGTGAAATAAGTCAATCACAAAAGGACAAATATTGTATGATCCCACTTATATGAAATAAGCAAATATATAGAAACCAAAGATTATGACTGGTTACCAGAGGTGGGAAGGAGGGAGAAAGGGGGAGTTTTTGCTTAGGGAGCACTGAGTTTATGTTAATGGTGGTGGAATAATTTGGACAAGGACAGCGATAATGGTTGTATAACATGAAGAATGTAATCAATGTCACTGAATTATACATGTAGAAATTGACAAATGTTTTGTTGTGTATATATTCACAATTTTAAAAAAGTAAAAAAAAAACACAAAACAAGTTTTAAATTTGGAATCAAAGTAGAAATAGAAAGAAAAAATAATACTACCTGCTGTTGTTGAAGAAATGTCTCACCAGAGGACCACCTACTGAATCAGAATCTCTGTGATGGGGCTGGTAACCTACCTTTTCAATAAGCTCTCCATGTGACCCTTACAGAAACTACAATTTGTGACTAACTGATTTAAATGATACACAGTACTAAGTTAAAGGCAAAAGAACTTTGCAGAGTGCTTTAAGAAGTTTTCAAAGTATTCTGAAAAAAAAGTGGAAAAATTCTCTTTCCAAATTCAAAAGAACCTGTGCCAAAGCAGTAAGTACCATCTATTACCTATCACAAGGAACCCTGGTGGCATAGCGGTTAAGCACTCAGCTGCTAACCAAAAGGCCAGCAGTTGGAACCCACTAGCCACTCCCTTGGAGATGTGGAAGTCTGCTTCCATAAAGATTACAGCCTTGGAAACCCTACGGGGCAGTCAGAATTGACTCAACTGCAGTGAATGGATGGATGGATTACCTATCACAGAGTCCCTGGGTGGTGCAAACTATTAACATGCTCAACTGTTAACTGAAAGGTTGGAGGTTAAAGCCCACCCAGAAGCACCTTGGAAGAAAGGCCTGGTGAGCTACTTCTGAAAAATCAGCCATTGAAATCCCTACGGAGCACAGCTCTACTCTAACATATATGGGGTCGCCATGAGTTGGGATCAGCTTGAGGGCAACTGGTTTTATTACCTATCACATTAAATTAATGTCCTTAATTTGAATTAGATTGGCCTGGTAGTTTTGTTTAACGTGTAAATTTGCTTTGGTTTTATTGGTGTACAAAAACTGTAATCACAAGGAATTTATCCTGTATACTTCAGTACACATTAAAAAAAACCAAACAAACAAAACAACAGCTGTTGTCGAGTCAGTTCCAACTCATGGTGAACCCATACATGTCAGAGAAGAACTGTCTCCATAGGGTTTTCAATGGCTGTGATCTTTCGGAAGCAGATCACTAGACCTTTCTTCTAAGTTGCCTCTAGGTGGATTTGAACTGCCAACCTTTTGGTCAAGAGCCAAGCGCTTGACTGTTTGCACCACTCAGGGGCTCCCAGGAAACATTAGGACTCTAAACATTTCTTCTTTTATTCCTTTAGAGAAGCCCATTTACTTTTCCTAGTTTTAAAAATCCTGCTTCAAAGGAAAACCATAAAAGGTGGCTGAGATGGGGGAGGAAAATTTTAAAATTTATTTTGATCCCTCCCAAGTTTGTTTTCACCTATCTGCATGGTCATTTATACTCATTTCAGGGCCACAAGGATCCTTTTCAACTACTTACTATAGGAAGAGAAATCATTATTAAATTTTTAAAGAAATCTTAAAATAAAAACCATATACAAAATCCTTTAAAAAATAAAAAATAAATAAGACCCTACATTGCCAATAAAAACCAGATCCAGCACATCCAGGGCTGAAGAAATATAAAGAATATATACATTTTCAGCTGGTGTTTCCTAACACTCACGTACTGTCTTCCGTCTTACCTCTCGATGCCTATCCCGGTCTCGGGACTTCTCTCTCACCCAGTCGATTGTATTGAAATCGTCATAGGTCCCCACACCAGGGATTGGCTCCTCCAAGAAGTCCATCATCCTATTTGCAGAAACTATTCCTGCACCATTGTATGACTTGTCCTCTGTATTGAACAGGAAACAGATGTTAGTACTTCAGACACTCTAACATTCTTAATACCCCCTTCTTTCTAAGCACTGAAAGGTGAGCCTGTAAACTATCAGATGACTACAGCCAGGGTGTGCTGATAAAGCAATATAATCACCTGGTGGGAACATCCATCACTTTCAGAGTTTTCTGTATCTAGGCACAAAATGAGTAGCGTCTTAAGGCAGTGTGAATAGAAAGGGACAGATGAGAGTGACAGTAAAAAGGGGAATTGACAGGAGTTGCTGTGCAAAACAAAAGATAGGAGCTAGGATCAGGATATTTCAGTTTCTGTTATGGAAGGGAAACAAAGGGTGAAAGTTTTTTGCAGACATATCACACCAGGAACCATTTTACATTTATAAGGCAGTAATTCACTCCTATGAAGCAACTTTCACTAGACTGGGGACTTCAAATAAAGCATTCCATCTCTTTAAGAGTTAAGCTGATTAGAATGTACAAATTTGCCTTCAATAGGTATAAACTTTGATTGATCCCTGATCTAATGGGCCTGGAGAAACTCTGAGTATGCCAGAGAAGTGTAAGATTTACAAGATGAGATTTAAAGAAAAGTACATGGCTCAGTGATAAAATGTCCCTCCTTAAGAAACATTCCATTCTCCCAGTGGTGACAGCCCTTTATCTGTGTGGCTTTTAGCACTTCTATTACAATTACTTATGCATAATCCTTATCTTACTTTCTAAACTATAAGCTCTTTGAAGGCAAACCCTGTATCTGATCATCATTGCCTTATCCACAGTGCCTAGCACATATCTAAGACTCAATAAATATCTGCTGAACCAAAATTTGCTTGATGAATGATGGGGATGCACAGCGGTTAAAGTGATCAACTGCTAATCGAAAGGTCCGCAGTTCGAAACCACCAGCAAAAGATGTGGCAGTCTCCTTCCATAGAGATTTACAGCCTTGGAAACCCTATGGGGTCGCTATCAGTTGGAATTGACTCAATGGCATTGGGGTTTGGGGTTTGGGGTTTGGTTTGGAGATCAGGAAGAGGTATCCAAACTCAGAAGCTGTACTCACGCAAGGTTAGGACTGCTTAACAGACTTGCTCAAAATATTTCTGCAACAGTGTCTGATGGAGTAATAACTTGCTATTAAACACAAAATGTACTGAGGAGTTTATGCAAATACACACTGGGGAAAAATGCAGAGTATTGCCATCATTCAGTTCAACCAGCCAAAGCTCACATTTGCAGCACCAACCTTGGCAGGGAAAAGACCTCATCCAGACTGTCTGACAATAAATCCCTCTTCAGAGAAGGCCAAAGTGGATCTGGACTGACCTTCCCTCCCATCTGCATCCTCATCTTCAACTCTTGACTCCTAACAGACAACTTCAGCACTCTCATAGGGTAAGTATGAATTCCACCCTCAACTGTACCTGGTTTACAAAGTCTAAGTTTTCTGAATACCTAATCCAGCATAACAACACACACATTTGAAAGGAAAAGCTCTGCAGAATCCGAATCATATTGGGGGTTGGGGGTTGGGGGTAGGGTGTGGAGTGAAGGAGGTGAACAAGTTAATCTTAAAACCCTAAACCAAAGTCCCTTCCATATCTTCAGGCGTACCTGGCTGTAAAATGGTTGGCTGCTGAATCACCAACCCAGCATTTCCTATCATGTCAGTGTCATGCTGATAAAGATTGCTGGTGTGTTGTGGAGAGCTTGGAGGAAAAAAGCCAGCTGGGAAATGAGGACCGAAAGAGAATAAAGTACGGCAGGGGAAAAAAACTGTTTCAATTCTCAAGTCAAATGCTGACATGAACACAGGATTCCAAACAACCAGAAATTTACTTTTAAAAGCAAGTTAATTCTTCAATTGAATTTGTTCTGGTTTAAGATTTCTCCTTTCGAGACAGAGTGGGAAAAAAAAAGGATTTTGTGAAACTGATTTTTAAAAGCATCAGATAGCTATCTAATATTACACAATATATCAAATGAGTCCCCTAGCTCTAAGGATTTTAAGACAAAATGAAGATCTGTAACAGCTTCCTAACAGGAAAGAAAAAATCCTATTACATCACTAAGTAACATGAGCACTGCATCATTCTTCTTTGTAGTTAGTCTACTGTTATAAACACAAATTGCCAGGCAGCTCTAAAAGAGCAAGCAGTGATTAGAATCCTATAGCATACTACTTGTGATTATCCAGATCCCCCTCTCCCTGGGGTCATGCTTCCTTCCTTGGTATGGCTAAAGTCTGCTTACCTTCAGTCACAGCTTTTTTTCTGCCTCAGGGAAGAAATAACCTTGGTAGCCCACATTTGGTCATTCAGGTTGAGGAGCTTTTACAGAAGGAAACCTGGTATGAACTGCTTTAGAAGGAGGGCACTTGCTGCCTTCTCTGCCTTTCACAGGAACAAATGCCACCTAAAGAACCACCAGTGTTCCCCGGCAGTCAGAATGTGATGTCACTGTTGGAGTCACATGACCAGACCCTTGGACCAGCCTTGGAGAAAGAAAGATTTTTAACTGAGCACAGAAGCCTTAAAGATGTAGTCTCATCTAAACAAATGCCATCAAACCAGGGGCAGTCGGGTCAGTTCAGAAAATTGGGGTCCAGATTAGTCTTCAGACCTATTTAGCAGAAAGTCCAGGAAAACAAAGTAGAAAGATCCAAAAGCATCTATAGTCATAGAGATCCTAAGTAAAAAGGGAGAGCAGCAAATATAAAAAAATGCTTTTTAAAAATGCACTGGATAGCAAAACTTAGATAAAATCTCAGAAATGAAAATGCTGAGTGAAAGAAGCCAGACACAAAAGAACACATCGTGTAAGTTCAAAAATAGGCAAACCTAAATTAAGTTGTTTTAGGATATAAATGTAAGTGATTGCATTACCAAGAAATGCAAAAAAAAAAAAAATGACAGAAGTAAAGATAAGAGTTACCCACAGAAGGTTGTGATCTGGGAGGAGCACGTGGGGTGATGGGTGGGACTTCTGGAACGCTGGTAATTTTTCTTGATCTGGTGGTAGTTACCTGTGTTCACTTCATAATTGTTCTCTAAACTGTATGCATGTTTTAAATATGTCTTCTCTCTATGTACACATCATAATTAAAGAAAAAATGTGAAAACTGAACTGCACGTGAGCTTACTAAACAAGGTCAGTTCTTTAATAGCAGATGGTAACTCTGAAAGCCCAAAAGAGAGTCAAAAAAATGAGTTGTTTTTAGTAGTGGTGGTCTACCCAGAAAGCAACATAAAACTTGATACTCATTAATCCAACTTGGGTGAAACTTGTTATTTCAGCTTTAAAAATAAATTTACTACTAAGTGTTAAGGCTTTCCCTTTCCCCACCCTATTCCAAAGGCTACTTTTAAGCAGGTATTAATTAATTGGGTAACAAGGCCAGTCTGGTAAAGAAGAATGAAACTGCCGTCTTCCAACTCCCTAAGTGAATCCACAGGACAGACACTGTTAAACATTAACCCCGCCACAGTGTGCTCCAATAATCAAACCCTAAATACAGGGCTTTGAAATGCTGTGATTTCTCTCATCAATTCTTAAAGGCCTCATGCATCCTGAAATGGTAATATAACAGTCTATGAAATGTGAGGCATTTCATGAAGCCTGTAGGCTTATAATCCATCATTATTATAATATCTCACTCTCTTGGTGAACTAATCTAGCATTAAAAAAACAAAAACAAACAAACTGTTGCCATCAGTCGATTCTGACTCATAGTGACCCTATAGGACACAGCAGAACTGCCCCATAGCGTTTCCAAGGAGTGGCTGGTGGATTCGAACTGCCGACCTATTAGTTAGCAGCCAAACTCTTAACCACTGCGCCACCAGAGCTCCATGAGTGACGACTATTAAAATGAAGCAGCAACTAACAGTATTAAGTAGCAATGAACTACAATGCTGTAAAAAGCAATAGCTATTTTGTGGCCCAAGTGTGACTATCTTAAATGACTTAAATTTTAGGCAAGTGTGTATATTTTACTTCGAGGATAATATTCCCAACCTCATAAGACCCCTTTCGAAGTCATTCTTCATCAAATAAGATTTTACCTGTAGTGTCTGAAGACCGCTACAGAATTTACTTACAATATATAAGAAAATTTATATTATCTTATTAGATTATTTCACATTTCATCAGATATAGTATTTAGTAGTCAATTTAGCAAAGATATTATCTTTTTTGGTACTTAAAAAATATAGTTTTTTGGTATACAGTGGCTGGAACTGTATACATGTTACCAGGTTAATAATTTTTAAGGAAAGTTCGTGTGTTTTTCAAATGTTATATCAGCGCTTCTAAAGGAAGGACTTTTTCTCATTCCACATCAAAGTACTTCCTTTGAGAAGTACAGTGCTGGTAGCTATGATGCAGTTCTCATGCTAAAATGAGACTTAATTACAATTTTGGTTAAAAAAAAAAAGGGGCACTAATATTCAGAATTTGATATGGTACATATCTTTTACTCTTTTTCACCCCTGATTTAGGAAAAAATATTGGAGTTATTATTCCCTCTCCTTGAGCATAGAGAATGTGGCCCAGCTGGAGCTGGGCTCACAAGGACTCACAAGGACACATCAGCTGGGCCGTGAGGTAGAAAGACAATAGCTAAGATAATCTTGGAAAATATCTTTTAGGGAAACTTTCACATAAAGCACAACACAAAAGACTTTCCACTCTTATCTTTTTCTATTAGCATTTAGTGAATAGAAATTTCTTGGACCAATGAAAACCCTCCTGACTCTCCTTACAAAAACCTGTACCAATGATTGTTAAGAAAGCTGATTCAAAATGTAGGACCACAGTTTCTAGCCAATCTGTGAAAAGGTGAAGCTTTCAATGGTTTTGCCCATTTGTAATGTCAATATATACTGATGGCTTTGTAACTGGTCTTTGGACTCGGGCAGAAGTGGCTGTGGCAGCATGCTTGTCCGTTTTCCCATTCTTGCCTATTTGGTGATATTCTTTGGTCTTGGACAGACA